ACACGGATAGGCGGAGAGGCAGGGACTGGAGAAACCTCCACACGCACCAGCTTAGAGACCGCCCCTGCCGGCAACTGCGGCGACCACCCTCCCCCATTCACCTCAGCTCTGGCACCAGGGACCAGCCCCTAGCATGGACTGAAGGGTTCGGGGGCGCCCCGCACCCTCGGTACTGCCGCTGGACACGAGCCCGCCATGACTCGTGCCGCCCCTCTCCCGGAATAATTGCCCACAGCCCCGGCCCTCCTCATCCCGGTACCGGGTCGATTACCATCTCCTCCTCCCCAGTGCTTCCATTCTTGATTCCCCCCCCCCCCCCCGCCCTGCACCTGCCCTTCTTCCACTGCCCCCACCCAAGTCTAGGGGCGCAGACTGAGACAGCATCCATTCTCTGGGCCCAGCCAAGGTCATTTATCATTCATGGGGGGGGGGCGGGGAGACGTCAAGGTGAGGAAGCGATCAGAGTTTGGGGGACCCTCATCTACCCAACAACCCCTCCTCGGGTTAATCTCCGGATGGTACTGGAGACTTGGCTAAGGTGGAGGGAAAAAAAACACCCCTCCCTCTCCCTGTACACAAACATACATATGTGTGTAGCCAGAGGTACGGACAGACATGGCTATGTACATACGTATGTATATGTACACGCATATGCACGCATGTCCTGAACCGCACAACGAAAGAGACAAATACCCTTCTCTACCCCCCAATAAAACACCAACCCCCCCTCCCCCCAGCAGGGACGGCCGCCCTCCCCGTAAGCAAAGCATCGGAGAATAAAATGGCTGCAAGGCAAGGATGCTCTGGCCAGGGCGGGGTGAAGGTGAGAGTCTGAAAGAGGGGGGGTCTCACCTGGCTGGGTACCCCGGGTAAGGGAGTCCCAGGTGAGGGTGGGGGTCCGGCCGCGGGGCTGAGGCGGCGGCGGCGACTGCTCCGGGTACCGGGGAAGAGGCACTGCAGACCTGCCCCCCCCCCACGCTCCGGCCCCGCCTCCGGCCCCGCCCCCGCGCCCAGAGCACCGGGAGAGACCATTGGGGGGCGGGCGGGGGGGGGGCGATACAGGGGATGGGAAGGGGGGAGGGACTCAGGACCCGGAGTGATGATGAAGAAATGATGGAAGGGAGGCGGCGCAGGGAAGAACCACAGGGGTCCCTGAAAACGGCACTCAGCCTTTCCCAGCTCCTTCCCAGCAAAGGATGAACGAAACCAAAGGAAGAGAAATAGTGATGTTAGGAAGGCAGGTGGGGAGAGGGACACCGGTGAGGGGACGGGGGTGGGGGGCGGGGGCAACGGAGGCAGCCCCCGGACAGAGCCTAGGAGTTTCTGGGGTTCAAAACATCTCTCCTCACTTTGTCATCATCCTCTTCCACATCCAGCAGTGCTCAGACTCCAGCTTTACCTGGCTGGTTTAGAGAAAGCAGACGTTACGAGGGGAGGTCCCTATTCTGAACTATCAGAGGCAAAAACCCTCTCCTCCAGAAATCCTTATTAGTCCTCCATTGTGCAGACCTCCTCTCGTCCTCCAGTTGATGGTAGCCCAAGTGAGTACTGGAGAAACTGAGGTTTATTTGACAGATCAGACCCCCTTCCAATTAACTCAACTCCAATTAACTCCAAGAAGGCTCTCCTCAATCCCCTTCCCCATTTGCTTCTAACACACACACACACACACACACACACACACGCACACTTCTGTTTCCAGAGCAGGAAAGAATTGGTTCCAGTTTGTTCCTGGCATCTTTCCTTTGCCTCTGTGTCATTAACCTGGGTTCACAGATCCAAGACACACTGTTTGGCAACATTTGGTGACCATCTCTGCTCTAGGAGTAAGAGAGTATGTGGTGGTTTTCTGATATACATGCTAAATGTGTCTGTTCTAGGTAAGGACTTAACATATTCTAGACAGAGCATTGACAAGGGCTCTGACCTGGGTTCTCATGTCTAATACACTGTGGGCCAGGAGGAAAGTTCTGTGAACTCCTGTAAATCTTGGGTTTCTGGTCTTGGACTAGATGTGCTGCTTCAGGTCCTTTTCAGAGCTAAGACTGTAAGATTGTTTTACTCAATATGGAAGTTTCAGGCTGCAGAGATACATTACATAGAAAAGGCTGGCAGTCTGTATCTCTAGAAATCTCATGGATGACATTTGGTATGTAGAATTTACTGACAGGTATGTGGGCCTGAGCTTTGTAGGTGCCAATGCTGGACTTCGGAAGTATTTGTGTCAATAATGTTTACCATGTACTGAAATATTAAGCCACAATACATATTTATTTTCCATAAATATGTAGCTGTCATTCAGATTGAAAACTGACATCTACATGTCCTATACATTCACTCCTTGAAGCCAAATCAGAATCATGTCAATGTATAAATACATAATGACCTAACCAAACAGGACTTGTATCTTTAATGGCATCTGGCCATCCCCAATAAGGAATCATGCCAATGGGTCCAAATTCTTGGCTACAATTCTCTACCCCCACCTCTACAGTCTGGGAAGACTTGCCAATGCTCCTGAACTACGCTCAATGTATGGCTGAAGCACTCTTTCCAGGATGGTACTTGGAACAGCTCCTGCCCACTAGGGCCTCAGGGACACTCCATTTACTAGGCTTTCATTGATGATCCTTCTTAAAGTTGATACACTCTTTAAATATGCTATTATTTCCAATTATAGCAAAGTTTTGCTGGCAGGAAGCCATTTCTTTAAGGTGACTTTGCATATTCTTCACTGATATATTTCGGCTCTCTCTCCTCTCTCTTTCTGTGACAGTCCTAGGGCTCAAATTCAGGACCTGAGCACTGTCTCTAAGCTTTTTTGCTCAAGGCTAGTACTTTACCACTTGAGCCACAGCTCCACTTCTGGCTCTTTTGGTGGTTAATTGGTAGTTTCATGGATTTTCTTGCCCAGACTGGCTTTGAACCAAGATCCTGTTTCCTTAGTAGCTATGGTTACAGGCATGAACTACCAGTGTGTAGTCTAAGTCTCTTTTCTTTGTTGGTCACAGGGCTTGAACTCTGGGCCTGGGCGCTATCCCTCAGCTCTTCAGCTCAAGGCTGGCACTCTACCACTTGAGCCACAGCACCACTCCCAGCTTTTTCTGCTTATGTGGTGCTGAGGAATGGAACCCAGGCCTCATGCATGCAAGGCAAGCACTCTACCACTGAGCCACCTTCCCAGGCCTAAGTCTTTTTAATCAGCAAAAAGCCAAAAGTGGAGACATGGTTCAAGTGGTAGAGCATCAGCCATGAGTGTAAAAGTTCAATGAGAGTTCAAGGCCGAGTTCTAGCCCCAGCACAGGTACTCATACAAAAACAAAAACAATGAGGAAGAATGATTCCAAAAAAGACATCCAGACTCACATTTTCTTGCCTAGAGTTCAAAGAAGTTCATAGTTATACAAGTTATACATAGTTATACAAGTTATACAAGCCAAAGATGGAACTTCAAGGGAGTGATAGAAAAGGATTAAATGTGGCAGAAGTGGAGCTGTTCAGTTTGGTCCAGTTGCTGATTTTATTTTGCCAGTACTACCTGCTTTTATTTGCCAGTCATGGGGCTTGAACTCAGGGCCTCAGCTGTCCCTGAGCTTCTTTTGCTCAAGGCTAGCACTCTACCACTTGAGCCACAGCGCCACTATTTTTTTTTCTGTTTAAGTGGTACTGAGGAATCAAACCCAGGGCTTCATGCATGCTAGGTAAGCACTTTATCATTGAGCAACATTCCCAGCCTACTACATCCTCTTGATCAGCCTTTTAGCTCATAGCTGCTGCTCTATCACTTGAGCCATGCCTCCAGAATAGCTTTCTGCTGGTTAATTGAAATATAATTCATTGGCAGTATAATAGTAGCTCAGGCTTGTAATCCTAGTGACTCAGGAAGCTGAGTTCTGAGGTGGCTTGAATCCAGCAGGCAGGCAAGTCTATAACGCTCTTATCTTTTTTTTTTGGGGGGGGGGGGGGTCTGGTCGTGGGGCCTGAACTCTGGGCCTGGGCACTGTCCCTCAGCTCTTCAGCTCACTTGAGCCACAGCGCTACTTCCGGCTTTTTTCTTTTTGCTTATGTGGTGCTGAGGAGTCGAACTCAGGGCCTCAGGCATGCAAGGCAAGCGCTCTACCACTGAGCCACCTTCCCTGCCCAAGGCTCTTATCTTCAAAAAGCTACCAAAAAAGCTGGGGGTGGGACTATACAACTGTGGCTCAAGTAGTAAAGTACTTTCAGTAAAAGAGTTTTAGGGTCAGTAACCAGGCTAAGTTCAACCCCAGGACTGCAAAAAATAATAAAATGTGAATAACAGATTTATCCATGATAGCTGGTAATGAATGAAATGAAACTGTCCCAATTTATTCATTTTAACTTTTGTTTGGCAATTATATATTTACATGGTTCCAATTGAAGGTCACATTAACAATTAGTAAAAGAAATCAAGCTTTCCTCTATATCCTCTACTTCCCCAAGTAGACCTCTTCCAATGGTTTTCTAGTTTTCCATTCTATAGGCAAATACACGTGTGGCATCCTAAGATAAAATACTATGAGTGTGTTAGGGTTTGAGGCCATGCATACCAAGGATGTACTGTACCATCAGCAACAACTTGGTATAGTATGGTGTACTACTACTACTACTACTACTACTACTACTACTACTACTACTACTATGGCCTCTTCCTCCTTACAGCCGCATAATACACCAATGTGTATTTACCAGTTCATTCAACTAATCCCTTTTACTGATGGATATGAATTGTTTTCAGTCTGTTTTGCCAAATAGGGCTGAGGTATCAGTGTGTATTTTTTCTATTTCTGCCAGTATAACCAGGTACTTTATTTGTGTTGTCCCTCAACAAAAACAACCGCTTTAATGCACAGCAGAAAGCTATTTAAGAACACATTACAGAGTAAGCCTTTAAATGTAGATCGCCTCCTCTTATTTTTCCTCCCACCATACCTTGATACAGCCTTTGAAAAAATTACTCTGCCAAGGAAAACAACAAAGAATAAACAAGGAGTATAGTTTTATTTCCTCTGAGCCATCTGCAAAACACTTAGGACCAACATTTAAAAAAAAAAAAACACAAAAAAGCCTCCTTTAAAAAATTTACATTAAAAAGGGGGAGAGGGGGCAGAAGCTAAGTGATTAGTATATTAGCCCCACGGAGCTATCACAATTCTGACTGGTCCAAGATATGGAAAGGATGTAGGGCAGATATAAAAAGAGGAAGGAGAATTTACTGAGGGAGAGGACCCCGAAGTGGGCCACGAGGGGGAACTGGAGGCCGAGGAGTGGGTCTGGGTGGAGGGAGGGGCCCCCGCTGGTAGCCATAGGGTGGGGGTCGAGGAGGGCCAGTGTAACCATGGGGAGGCATCAGTGGAGGGGGCCCACGCATACCGTGTGGAGGCATAGGACCGGGGTGACCTGCAAGAAAGAAAAAGTTGATAAAAGTGAGAAATTGGAAATGGTTGATATTGGGAGATGTGTAGAAGAGAAAAAAAGCTGAAGGCGGCATGGGACAAAGGGTATTAAAAAGAAAGCTGTACGAATGTGAGACAGGACATAGTGAACATCTGTAATCCCAGCACTTGGGAAGCTAAGGCAGAAGAGTGCTGAGTTCCAGATCAGCCTAAGCTACCTAGCGGCCAACCTGGGTATTACAGAAAAGAGCGGGGGAGAGGGAGAAAGGAGAAGACAAGAAGGGGAGGAAAAGGACACTGTGATAAAGGAGATGGCTAGAACCCACTCACCCATGGGAGATCCAAACGGAGGCCCTCGGGGGGGCATGCCCATTGGGGGAGGTCCAGGATGAGGCATTCCAGGTGGTGGGCGGGGTGGAGGCTGCCCCCCAGAGCCTGGAGGCCCAGCATGGGGGTGTCCTAAGCCATGAGGGCCATGGTGGGCCAGCTGCATCTGAGACATCCCTGTGAAAATAAAAATGATACAAGAAAAAGAGGGTGGTAGGTAGACAGGATAACGAAGAAAAGGAAGACATAAAGGTATATGGAAAATAAGGCTGACAAAAGCACTCTATCCCTGATCCCATCCCAACAGTAAAACCTAACCACTCACTCACTTCACTAGTTCTTTTGGAGTTAGGCTCAGTAAGCGATGCAAAAGTATGTATCAAAAACAGTGGTGAGTGCTGGGAAGGTGGCACAGTGGTAGAGCGCTCGCCTCGCATGCATGAGGCCCTGGGTTCGATTCCTCAGCACCACATAAGCAGAAAAAGCCGGAAGTGAGTCCTGTGGCTCAAGTGATAGAGCACTAGCCTTGAGCTGAAGAGCTGAGGGACAGCGCCCAGGCCCACAATTCAGGCCTCATGACCGACCAAAAAAAAGAAAAACAAAAAAAACAGTGGTGACAGGTTGGATAGGCTGGAGTAGCCTACATACTACCTGAGCGAAGGTCTTATTGTAAGGGACAAATAAGAATTCTTCAGAGTGGTAAGACTGACCATGATATATTGTAAAGAGGTACAGAAATGTCAAAATGAACCTCTCCTTAAGTAAGTAATATATGCTTTAAAAAGAGAAGATAGGGCTGGGAAGGTGGCTCAGTGGTAGAGTGCTTGCCTTGCATGCATGAGGCACCACATAAGCAGAAAAAGCCCGAAGTGATGTTGTGGCTCAAGTGGTAGAGCACTAGCCTTGAGCTGAAGAGCTGAGGGACAGCGCCCAGGCCCAGAGTTCAGGCCCCACAACCAACATAGATAGATGTGATTGGGACAGATGTGGGAAGAAGGATAGAAGGGGAGACACTGATCAAGCTGCATTGTAAGATAAGCTGGTGCTGGTGGATCACCCCTCTAATCCTCTCTACTAAGGAAGCTGAGATCTTGAGGATCTCAGTTTGCAGTCAGCTTGGACAGAAAAGTCCATGAGACTTATCTCCAAATAACCAGCAAAAAGCCACAAGTAGAGGTGGGCTCAAGTGCTCAAACATCGGCCTTGAGTGCAAAAGCCAAGTGAATTCAAGCCTCACTATTGGCACCAAAAAAGGGAGGAAAAAAAAATGTACTCATAAACCCTTTTGTACATCTACTTAAATTTTAAAAATATTTTAAGAAAAAAACAACTTGCAAAGACAGAACTGTTACAAGCCACCTGATAATAGTTAAAACACATCTCTTAACTTTGTAACACTATTTTAGTTTGGATAGTTATGTCGAAGGGAGCATTGTATGTATATAAGATATTTAGAAGCATTTCTGTCCTCTACATACTAGGTGCCAGTGGCATTCTGGCCCAATCCAGGTGTGATAACCAAAAAACATCTCCAAATATTGCCAAATGTCCTGGGGGTGGGGGATGTAACCCTTGGTTGAGAACCACTGACTAGACCATTATGAAATTTTCACTTTTCTTTTTTTTTTTTTTTGGTCAGTCATGGGGCCTGAACGCTGGACCTGAGCACTGTCCCTCAGCTCTTCTGCTCAAGGCTAGCGCCCTACCACTTGAGCCAAAGCGCCACTTCCAGCTTTTTCTGCTTTTGTGGTGCTGAGGAATCGAACCCAGGGCCTTATGCATGCAAGGCAAGCACTCTACCACTGAGCCACCTTCCCAGCCCCAAATTTTCACTTTCTTTTAATGAACAAGGCACTTGTAATTCTCAGGAGGCCAAGATCTAGAGGAAGCTCATCCAGGCAGACAAATCCAGGAGATTCCATCTCCGATTAATCCAAGCTAAAAGAGTGGCTCAAAAGATAGACAGCCAGCTACAAGCCAACAAGCTGGGCAAGCACAAGACTCAGTATCAGAAAAAAAAAGTAATTCATTTGTGGTATAAAGGCACACCAGCTTTTATAAATAATACCAAAATCTCACTGGCTAAGAAAAAAAGCTTTTGCTTATGTTTCATCCCCCTCCAAGAAAATTCTTCGGAAAGACCTGACAGTGGACATGACTACCCCCGAGCAGAGACTGGGATCTGCAAATCAGAAGTATGTCAAACAGCACAGTATATCCCAAAAAAATACCAATCAGCATCAACATACAGTGGAGGGAATCATCTGTATGGTCCAATTTATGAGAATCCCTAGAGGCAGGAGTTTGAGTTTTTCTGTAGGCAAAAGGGGGCAGATTTGAAACAACTGCGACTGAACATATTTTAGAAAAATTACTGTGAAAATAATCCAAAGATAGAAACAATAGTGTCAAAAGTGACCAGAAAATACAATAAATTAAGTACAAAGCAATGAAGAAACAAGAGCCTGAACTGGGACACTGATGTGGAGGAGATGCCAGATAGGAGTAGGACTTGCTATGAGAAGATATGGAGAACCTCCCATTTTTTTGGTCAGTCATGGGGCCTGAACTCTGGACCTAGGCACTGTCCCTCAGCTCTTCAGCTCAAGGCTAGTGCTCTACCACTTGAGCCACAGCACAACTTCTGACTTTTTCTGCTTATGTGGTGCTGAGGAATCAAACCCAGAGCCTCATGCAAGCAAGGCAATCACTCTATCACTAAGCCATCTTCCCAGCCCCAGAACCTCCAAATTTAAGAACTAAGCTCCTGAAAACAAACAGGAAGAAGAGGCCTGAAGAAGGGTAGAAAAGTAGTTATCTATTGAACAGTAAGATTATGTCTAGCTGGTTAATAACCATGGATGAGAGGCCCAGAAAACATCAGTATCTACATTTTTTTTTTGTCGGTTTTGGAGCTTAAACTCTGGGCCTGGGCACTGTCCCTAAGCTCTTCAGCTCAAGGCGAGCGCTCTACCACTTAAGCCACAGCATCAATTCTGGTTTTCTGGTGGTTAATGGACTTCCCTGTCCCATCTGGCTTTGAACTTCGATCCTCAGATCTCAGCTATCTAAGTAGCTAGGATTACAGGCACGAGCAATTGGCGTCTGGCTAGTATCTACATATTTAAAACTACAGATACATGTCAAACACAAAGAAAAAGGAGCTTTATCAAAGATGGTTTAGACACATGCAAAGATAAAGAACCCTGAGAAACAAAAATAGATAATAATTTCAAACTGGAAGACACGGATAGTTATAAATATCACAGAGATTACATCAGCTAAGGAGCAGAAGTGTCTCCTAGATTTGATAACTGGGTTACAATTAGTTGGAATGAAGTCAAGAGATAATGAGGGCAAAATGTTAAGGAAATAAAAAACACCAAGTATGGACTACTTTCAGAAAAACTTAAGAAATAGAGATAAGTTAGGAAGTGTTATAAGTGTTAATGTAAGATATCTTGTATTTATTTTAATGAATGTCTCAAGAGAGAACTCTGAGATACTTATCACTGAAGAACAAAGAGCAGCAAGATTACCATTGACAGTACCCTCTACCAAGCTCACTGCTCCCTTTTCCAGCCCAAAAAACACCTACCTGGATGGGGCATCCCACCTGGTGGGAATGGGTGTGGATGTGAATGTCCATGTCCAGGATGTCCAGCCCCTGGAGTTCCTGCTGAAGGGGGGCCATGTCCTCCAGCCCCAGGAGGCATAGGTGGTGGGGGCATGGCTGGGGGTATTCCAGGTGGGAGGGCTCCAGGAGGCGGTACTGGAGGTGGGAAGGACCCAGGAGGTGGCATTCCTATATAAGAAATGAAAGAAGAGTTAATGGTAGTGAGCAATGTCCTTAAAGAGCCTCCAATCTTGCCTCACGAGTGGCTCAGCACTTTACCCTCCTCTCAACACTCTAAAATCAAAAGCAATGGTTAGCAAGTCAAACTTCCATCTCCTGAAGAAACCCAACTTTGTTCATGGCTATCACCATTCCCCTCTCATTCCCCACTGACCCAGCATACTGTCCTTGCTGCTTGTTTTGTCTGCATCCAGCCCCACCCCCTGCAAACCCAAAACAAACATAATCCAAACCTAAAGTTCTACCTGGTGGAGGGAGCCCAGATCCCAGCGAAGATACCACAGGATTGGGGGCAGAAGGCGGAGGGGGTGCATCTGCAAATAGCTGATGAGGACGGTCAGCCTGGGAAAGTGGATTCTGAGCTGCCAGAAGTCGTTCAGCTGCTGAGCCATGGCGCTCACCCTTAGAGTCCTTCTTGAAAGCATAAGACACTGTGATAGGGCGGTTACAGAGATACTGCCCATTCATGGCCTCAATTGCTGCATCTGAAGCATCAAATGAAGCAAAATTAATAAACGCATAACCTTTGGAGTTGCCTGTGTCAGGGTCCCGCATAATTTTAGGGGTTTGTAAGATGACCCCAAAGGCGCTGAAAGTATCATAAAGCAGCTTCTCATCAATCTCTGGGTCCAGGTTCCCAATGAAAATGTTGGCCCCTACATCCAGGTTTTTGTTATGAGCTGATGCCTTGTTCACCCTGATAGGCTTTCCATAGAGTTTGATCATGTTCATAATCTTAATGGCATAGTCAGCATCTTCCTCACTCAAGAATTCAACAAAGCCATAACCTGGAAAAGTGGAGATGGGTAAGTTTAACTCAAGCGAAGAGATTCAAAATGGAATGTAACTCACCCTCCCTCCGCCAACCACAAATAATGTGACCGAAATAAAAGTGTCACTTCAACTGTGAATGTGAACTGTGAACTGACATTTACGAGAAAAATCTCCCAAAGGCAAACTGTGAACTGAAGTTTAAGGGAAAGAAGTATTTAGACTGCTCATTCCCAAACAGTTATGAATACTGTTGGGACTGTTCGGGAGCACTGGTCCCTACTTACCCTGATGCTGGCCAGTGACTCTATCCTTTGGCATGTGCGTGTTGACCACGGGCCCTGCCTGGAGAAAGAGTTCCCACAGGAGTGGTTCGCTGACCTTCTCGTCCAGGCCCCCCACGTACACAGTGGCATCTCAAGAGAACAGAAAATGAGGGTCGGGTGAGGGCAGAGCAGAAAAGGAGTTGGTGGGAACATGAAGATGGGATTTCGGCACGGGGAGGGCAGGGGCCCATGCATAAAGGAGAAAGCAAAACAAAACACGTGCAGCCCTTAAACATCTCTCCTTACTGGGAGTCTAGCGAATCTGCTAGTTTGATGCTCAGCTGCAAAACGTGCGGCTCCGTGGGGATGTTTTTTCTGTAGTGGCAATGCGGCCGGGAATCGGGCCTAGAAGCCGCGCCCCAGGCCTCGGCCGGCCCCGGCCGCGCCCCCCGCCACCCGGGGCCCAGCTCACCCCCCCCGGGAGGTCTAGCCTTCCACCTCCGCGGAGCCGCCGCCTGGCTCTAGTCGGCACCCCTCAGATCCCCTGGACGCATCCCCCCCAGTTACCCTGGTTCCGTTCGGAAATCGGCCCCGCAGCCATGGCGAAGAGGCTCCCGCGCCGTCTCTTAGCGGCAGCTCCGCCCCCTGACCGCAGCTACTACTTCCACTTCCGGGGCGAACATGGGCGGGGGGAGCGCTGGGTGGTGCTGTGGAGGGAAGGAGTGGGAGGAACCGGAAACTGCAGCAGCCATCTTAGGAGTGTGTGTGTGTGTGTGTGTGTGTGTGTGTGTGTGTGTGTGTCTGTCTGTCTGTCTGTCTGTCTGTCTGTCTGTCTGTCTGTCGTCTGTCTGTCTGTGTCTGTGTCTCTGTGTGTCTGTGTCTGTCTGTGTCTCTGTGTCTCTGTGTCTGTCTGTCTGTCGGGGATGTGTGTGTCCGGGGTCTCTGTGTGTCTGTGTCTCTGTGTCTGTCTGTGTCTGTCTGTCTGTCGGGGATGTGTGTGTCCGGGGTGGGGGTGGGGGCTTGCGTAGTCAGCTGGCGCTGTGTTACTGGGGTTCTAGCGATCAGTGTTTATTTGCTGGTTAATTGGAGATGGACAGGTCCCAGCTCCCTGCGGAACCAGGATTCCAGGCGTGAGCCGCCAGCCGACTAACGCGGGCTCTGATTCGGAGCCGACGTGCCCCTGGCACCTCTCAGAACTGTGGCGGCAGAGCTGGAACTGCCTCATGAGGCAGTGCTGGGCCGACAGAGAATTCGGTACTCCCAAATGTGAAAAATCAAAAGCTAGGGGGGAAATGCTGGCTTTCACATATATACATACATATATACATATAGTGATTTCTGTGTGGGTTTTTAACTCGTGCCCTTGGCCATACGCTATACCACTTAAGTCAGACCTCCACCCCACAAAGCGAAACTTTGTGACATAGGAAAGAGTGTGCAGAGGAATCCCCCCAACTCAGGCTCACTTGCTTTGAAGTGCAGGCAGCCTCCCATGTCGGCCCACAGCATGTGTGCAAATACAAACTCACGTCCCTGTGTCAGAATTAAAGGTGTTAGTTTTTCCATATTGGGGATGATATGGCACAATGTCTGAGCTGTAATGGTAATCATTACTGCATAGGCAAGGAAATCTGAGGCACCATGATCATGTGAATGACATTGAGTAGTGGCTAGGATTGTTTCAGACTTCAGTCCCAACCTCCAGAATACAACATCTTGATAAACTCGTCCTATTTCTTCTAAACGGAAGAAAAGAGAACTCTTTCCCAAATTGTTTGTGAAGAACTTCACCTGACCCAAGTTATTATCAAAATACAGGATCCCACCTCCTTTACCCACCACTCTTTACTTCCTAGGATCCTGCATTTAAACACAAGGAACAATGCCAGCTCTTTATACAAATGTGATTTAATGAACTTAAATAGAAATGTCACTACAATCTGTCATTCACACACACACAAACCAATGGGGGTGGGGGGAGGGGGGAATAAAAATTGGATTTAAAGCAGCAGCAGCAAGAGGGAATAAGAACTAAGTCTCTAGGACATTCTTTTGGAACTAATAAACAGCATTTCTGACCTCACAATTTAACAGCTAGTTATCCAAAAAATGGATGAAATTACCTCCACCCCACCTCCAAAAAAAGGCAATTGCATTTTGGATTGTTTTTGTTTCTTAGTTCTTTAGATCACAAAATACATGTACATGTATTACAAGCAGATGCCTGTAATCCTAGCTACTCAGGAGGCTGAGATCTGAGGATCGTGGTTCAGAGCCAGCCCAAGCAGAAAAGTCCCCTTGAGACTCTTATCTCCAATTAACCACTCAAAAGCTGGAAGTGGCACTGTGGCTCGGGTGGTAGAGCACTAGCCTTGAGCACAAAGAGGCTCAGGGACAGCAACCAGGCCCCAAGTTCAAGCCTCATAACCGACAAAAAACAAAAACAACGAAACAAGACAGAAGAGCTGGATATTAGCACCACCATCTGCTACAGAAACTCAAAATGAGTTTCTTTAAAGAGGCTGGAATGTGAAAAGCTAAGGCAGCAAGGCCAGATAGAAAAACTTCTGGATTAAACAGAGCCCTCCCTCATCCACGCTGCCCCCCGGCCATGCCTCCGAGAATGCTGGTAATTTCACTGGGATTGGGAGAGAAAAGTATTTGGATCTCTTTTCTTGCAATGATCCTGGGGAAATACTCTTGGTGTCCATTTTCTTAATAGCTCCTGAAGACAGGCTAGTTCTTCCCGAAGGCCAGAGATTGTGAGAGCTGACAGGCCCATCTGGGGAGGGGACAAAGAAGGGTAGAAATGAGTATTATTGAAACTCTAGCTTCAGTAATCTGTCTGCTACTTCTTTACTGTTCTTTCTCCTTCAAACTATCCCTTCCATTCTACTTGATCTAAGCATTTCCACACCTTCTACACCCCAAACCTACTCAATTTGATAACAGGAATAGTACTTCCAATCCCTTTAGCTCTTTCTCCCACTCCCACTCCCCATCTCCCCTTCTCACCTGGACCTCAGGCCTTCCCCTCAGGTAGCAGCGCTTCCAGAGCCTGATCTGGGGTCCCAAATATCCAGGTAGCAATAGCCCTGGAGGTAAAGGGCAAGCTCCCCAATGTGAGGGGAGCCCCCACTCCTGGTCAGCCAGGCTTTCAGAGGAGGTAGCTGGTCGAGAGAGCCAACGAGAAGGGACTGCCAAAAGAGAAGGACTGTCTCGCCAAGGACAAAGCTGATGCAGGGGGGTCAGGGCCCCTCTAGAGAAAAGCCACATCGAACGTGGAGGTCCAGGAACCATGAAGTTTGGCTAAGGAGGAAAGGGAAGTCAAGTGGCAATTGAGAAACCAGATAACCCCAGTTTGGGTCAGGAAGAGTGTCCTGCACTCAAAACTAAAAGACAACTCTTCCTCTCATCTATACTCGTTAGGCATCACCCAAGCCTTGGGACTAACTGAAACTGGTTTTAGAGAAACTTGTAAAATATGGGCACAAGATTGGAAGACTAATAAACAGAAATGAAGATAAAAGGGATGCCCTTGGTGCTATTCTAGGATTTCTCGTTTCTTTGCCACAGTCAGGTACTGTAAGTGATAGGTATAAAACAGGAGTGTGGCCGGGCGCTGGTGGCTCACGCCTGTAATCCTAGCTACTCAGGAGGCTGAGATCTGAGGATCGCGGTTCAAAGCCAGCCCGGGCAGGAGAGACCGTGAGACTCCCATCTCCAATAAACCACCAGAAAACTGGAAGTGGCGCAGTAGCTCAAGTGGTAGAGCGCTCGCCTTGAGCTGAAGAGCTGAGGGACAGCGCCCAGGCCCAGAGTTCAAGCCCCATGGCCGACAAAAAAAAAAAACAGGAGTGTGGTAGCTTTCCCTGCGAAACTCAGGGAAAGACATTGTATCTTTCTACTCTTCTAGTAGCATAACCTATGAAAATTCAAGGGAATTTAGGAAGCTTAGGCATCTCACCTGTCTAGGGAACCAGGATTCTGGGCAGTGCTCCGGGTCATAGCCAGGATTATGGAATTGTAATATCTGTTCATTGCTGTAGCGTAAATCCCAGTCCCAGACAGAGAGCTGCACATTTATACAGTTCCCATCTGGGGACTGAGAGTTTTCTGGGGTATAAACTTGTGTATAGGAGTTAAACTAGACAAAGGAATCAAGAAAAGAGATGATTAAACAATATATATATACACACATATTATACACATATATATGCTCACATATATGTATGTGCGGAGATATATGTATGTCTGTATAAATTACATATATGTGTGTGTGTGTGTATATATATATATATGTATGTATGTATGTATGTATATTCCCCCCCAAATCCAGAGACAAATCACTGAACTTACGCTTTCTATTTCAGGCATCAAATGTAGAATAAGGTCAATTTTCCCTTTCCCAAACACAGATTTCTCTTATAAAGCAAATCAAGACTAAACTTCAGCAAAGACTTCTTGGGAGACATAGACAAAAACAAGTCAAAAACAAAGGTCACTGACCTGTCTGCTCTGCTTTCCACGCTCCCAGGGAGTATTTCTCAGGAAAGTAAGAGTGTCAGGAACCCTGACACTGTCATGCAGAGCAAGAAGGAAAAACTCAGAGAATTCAAACTCAGCTGGAAATTGCTGGAGGAGCTGCCAGACACAATCAAGGAAGAGGAGAAACACTGGGGCCTAAGAAGAGAGCAATTAAAGGTTAGGCCTGAGGTATGGCTCAAGTAGTAGAGCTTTTGCTAGTAAGTGCAAGGCCCTGAATTCAATCCCCAGTACTGCTAAAAGTAACTAAGAGGTTAGAGAGGATTGTGAGGACCTAAAAAGGTTGGATTCCATAATAAGGGGATGGGGGGGGGGGGGGGCGGGGGGAGGCGGCACACAGGAATAGGATACTAAGGAGGTCAGGAAATGAAAGTCTGAGTTGAAAGTAGTTCATCTGGGTTTTCAAGTTCAACATAACCTCAGGACCTTTCTGATTCACTTCCAATGGATTATAATGTTATTTTTCTCCCTCCCTTAGTGCATGCTCCCAGCCCTCCTAAATTGTTCTCACCTCTTCACTGGCCCCAGTTCCCCCAAACCGAGTCAGGAAGGGGTGACCAGCTGCCACCCACTCTCGCTGCACTACTGATTGAAAGCCAAACAGTGTTCGGGCTTCAGGGGCCAGAAGCAGCTGGACGAGTGAAGAGAGGAGGCCGTTGAGATCACGATCACCACGCTCTGGGTGATAAAGAAGAAGGACAAAGAAGGAGGGGTCCAAGAAGCTAGGGAAGAAGAGAGTGAGAAGAGGAAGCATGGCAAGGAGGAATAAGGGGGGTGGGGAAAAGTTGGGGATAGGTGGGATTAAGAAGGCATATAGATGTAAAGACAAAACAAAGCTTGAATGATTCACTTCATAGACATGTGGCTAGAAACACCCGGTGTCACATGCAGAGGGCAGAACCACAATTCTCAAGCCAGCTTCCATAGTACCCTTCCCACCTCAACCCCAACCCCCATCCCCTGACAGAAGGAAGGGGAAGGAGGGGCTAAGAATATCCCAGTGATCAAAACAACAAGTAATAGTGGGAAGGCAGAGGTAGTTATGAACTTGGGAACTCATGGGTAGTTCCTAGTGACAGGAAGATGCTAGCACTAGAAGACA